CTTCCTAACAGTGAGGACAATTCACCAGTGGAACAGCTTGCCACCAGAAGTCGTGGGTGCTTCATCATTGCAGGTTTTTAAGAAAAGACTGGACAGCCACTTGTCTGAAATGCTTGAGCAGGGGGTTGGACTAGAAGACTTCCAAAGTCCCTTCCAGCTCTATTCTGATAGTTTGATTGACCAGGTCTACATGTAAGGTTCAATTAAACTTGCTTATTGCTATTCAAGGCAATGCAGAGGAAGATGTTCAACAGTCACCTAGTTAGTGTTAAATAAGGGTCAACAGCACTCAAGGAAGGTTGGACTTAGTTCTCTTGTGGCTATGTAGGGAGTCTAGGCTGATTCCCCTTTTCACTCCATCCCTTTTCTTACAACTAGGGAGACACAGGTAGAAGCAGTTCCTAAACCAGTGGCATCAGTGGTGAAATGTAAAATTTGTTACTACTGGTTCTGTGGGTGTGGCTTGGTGGTGGGGGTAATATGACTGAGTGGGCGTGGTCAGCTTTTTTTTTTTTTTTACTTTTAAAACCATTTTTTCTACAACCTCTTTGGCTGAAGTGGTTGTAAAAGAAATGCTTTTAAAGCCTCTGACGATCCCAGCTGACTTGCCTGATCGGCAGAGGCTTTCTTTTTTTTTTAAAGCCTCTGACAATCCTTGCCTGATTGGCAGAGGTTTTTTTTTCCCTTTTAAAAACATTTTTTCTATAACCTTTTCAGCTGAAGAGGTTGTAGAAAAAATGCTTTTAAAAGCCTCTGATGATCCCAGCTGAGCCGCGCGATCATCAGAGGCTTTTTTTTTTAACTTTTAAAAGCATTTTTTGGGGCAAAGAGGTTGTAGAAAAAAAATGCTTTTAAAAATATAAAAAAAAGATCTCTGATGATTGCGCGGCTCAGCTGGACAAAGGGGGTGGGGCAGGGATTTTTGCTACCAGTTCTCCGAACCACCCGCCTCCATCGCTACCGATGGAGTGATCCGGTCCGAACCGGGAACATTTCACCCCTAATCGGCATCTAAGAAGATTGGGCAGACTTCTTCTCAAATGGCTTGCGGTGCACTCTGCGAAAAACTGGAATTGCTTATATTTAAAGAGTGCCTACTCAGCAGTCATAATTTATGTCTTAATAACTTCCCCCCCTAAATGGCTCCCTTAGGGCTATCTTTGAATTCTGCTAGGCTGCTGAAAAATGCAAGAATCCACCTCTTGAACAAAAAAACAAAAAAAAAACCCAACTGCCAGGCATATATTATAGCAGTCCTACAAATGTGCCAAGGTTCCTGCTGATTAATGACAAGAATTAAGGGGACTCTGTCTGCAAGAACATTGAGAATGAGGGAAAAAGTTCATATCAAGACTGAACAAATATCAAAGCTAGCTTTGGTTATCTGACTGTTAAGAAACTTGATAATTGTTTGTTCCGTGAATTTGTTTAATTTTTCTCTGAAAGCCACACCTAGAAGTTCATAGATGTTCATAGAATAATAGAGTTGGAAGCAGGGGTGTTTCTCTATTTCAATGGCTTCCGTAATTATTCTCTTGTTGAAGTGTTCAGTTTTGGAGATTTCAAAACTCCTTCAAAATCAATTTCATGTCCTGTTGTTTTAAGGTGGTGGAAAAGGGAGGAAGTTTTTTCTTCTTTTTCTGACTGCGTTCTTGTGTTCTGCGATGCGTGCATTTATTCTCCTATTGCTTTGTCCAATGTATGTGGCTGGGCAGATTTTGCATGGAAGCCATCGAAATAGAGAAACACCCCCATAACATGAATAAACGTGACGATACTTCCCGCCTACCAGACATCTGGAAACTAGCCCTAGTCAACAAACGAGCCCCAGCCACAAACATTGACACCAGACCCAGGATAACACATGACGCCACCATCAATCATCCTCACCAGATTCAAACTCAATCCCATCCCATAGACGAAATGCAGCCACCGTCCAGGAGCTGGACCGCGGCGGCATCACCAGCTGCTGTGCCCCCCTCCGATCCCCACACAAAGCAAACTAACACATGCCATGAGCGCATGACAAGACCTCAGACTCTGAGCCAAACCAAAGCCCAGGATGTTGCATCACAGCCATCTGCTCAAGACAATACATCATAGAACTCAGGATAATACAACACTAAAACTCAGGATGTTACAACACAGCCAACTACCCAGGATGTTGCAGCTCAGGACTCAGGATGTCACAACACTGGGCTCAGGATGCTGCCACAGAGCCCATTACCCAGGTCGTTACAACACAAAAGCCTAATGGGCACACAGCTAGGACCTCGCCCACACAGGATGTTACGAAACAGCCGACTAATCTGCAAACATCAACTCCATCAATTAATCAAGATATAACAACACAGCCAACCAACCCGCTTACAACAACAAAGCCAGGACTCCCCACCTCCCCACCAGTATTTATAGAGAGACGGCATCTCCGATCACGCTTTACTCGCACATGCACGAAGCCGAAGACACCAGCCTGAAGATGACGAGTGGAACCTTGTCGAAACATCGCCAAGATACTCTCAATCTTACACGGGAAAAGACCCGAATACACCAAGACAAGTCTCTTCTTCTGGGTCCCACAAGATGTGCTTCCTTAAGGGACGGGACCCACAACATTCCTTGCCTTCCCGCTCTAGCTGATGTGACCGGAAAGAGATGGTCCCTCAGATAACCTGGTCCCAAACCATGAAGGGCTTTAAAGGTAACACCTTTAAAGCACCTTGGACAGCACCCAGAAGCAAACTGGCAACTAATGCAGCTCCCGCAGATGTGGTAACATCCATCACACAAGTCTTTTTTAAGAACCATTGGCCAACCATTTGGAGATGGACAACCATTTAAATATGAGCCAGCTGTGTGCAGCAGCTGCCAAAAAAGCCAACAGAGTTCTAGGCTGCATAAACAGAGGGATAGAATCAACATCACATGAAGCATTAATACCACTTTATAAGGCCTTGGGAAGGCCACACTTGGAATACGGCATCCAGTTTTGGTCGCCACAATGTAAGAAAGATGTAGAGTGCAGAGAAGGGCAACAAAGATGATTAGGGGACTGGAGGCCAAAACGTATGAAGAACGGTTGCAGGAACTGGGTATGTCTAGTTTAAGGAAAAGAAGGACTAGGGGAGACATGATAGCAGTCTTCCAATTTCTCAGGGGCTGCCCCAAAGAAGAGGGAGTCAAGCTATTCTCCAAAGCACCTGAGGGCAGGACAAGAAGCAATGGGTGGAAACCAATCAAGGAGAGAAGCAACCTTGAATTAAGGAGAAATTTCCTGACAGTGAGAACAATTAACCAGTGGAACAACTTGCCTCCAGAAGTTGTGAATACTCCAACACTGGAGGTTTTTAAGAAGAGATTGGATAACCATTTAGGGTTTCCTGCCTGAGCTGGGCGTTGGATTAGAAGACCTCCAAGAGCCCTTCAATTCTGTTATTCTATTCTAACCCTGGTTAGAAAGCAGAACTGAAACGCAACCAATGCCGCCAATGAGCCTTAAATAATGAAACATGGCTAAATCCTTCGGCTTCCATTACCATCCATTCTGTGGCTACAGAAACAAAGGTAAGCTCTCCCCTCCCCCCCTTTTGGGGAGGATGTACAAAATATTGATTCTATTCACCCATCAGTTATGCAGTCATTATGGGATATAGATCCACCGTTTCCAAGTTCAAAATAAGGCACTCAAAATGGCTTCCAGAAATATAATTTAAAAAAAAAAATCTTGATCATCATAACCACCCCAAAATCAATAATAAAAACATTTAGCGAATGGAGTAATGCAAAATACGCCACAGCGGAAAACTGAAAACTGTCCTTGTTTTAAAGCAAGATGTTCCATTTGGCTGGTGGAAGAACACCAAAGAAAGAAGAAGAAAAATAACATTTCGGGAAACAGAGGTTCTGTACGGGTGTAGAATATTGTTTCACCCTAGAAACAAAACAAGGCATAGATGGATAGATAATAGATGGATGGATGGATGGATGGATGGATGGATGGATGGATGGATAGATAGATAGGTAGATAGATAATAGATCGATGGATGAATGGATAGATAATGGATCGATGGATGGATGGATGGATGGATGGATGGATGGATGGATGGATAGATGGATAGATGGATAGATGGATAGATATTGGATGGATGGATGGATAGATAGATAATGGATAGATGGATAGATAATAGATGGATGGATGGATGGATGGATAGATAGATAATAGATGGATAGATGGATAGATAATAGATGGATGGATGGATGGATGGATGGATGGATAGATGGATAGATGGATAGATGAATGGATAATAGATGGATGGATGGATAGATAGATAATAGATGGATGGATAATAGATGGCTGGATGCTGGATGGATAGATAGATAATGGATGGATGGATGAATGGATAGATAGATAATAGATGGATGGATAGATAGATAGATAGATAGATAGATAGATAGATAATAGTAAAATAAAGCTACCGGTTCCTCTGAACCAGTATTTCCAACGATCAGCTGTGCCATGCAATTTAAAATCGCTAGAAAGAAGGAAATCCTGTTTTCTAGTGAATCTAAATCACGCAGCACAGCTGATTCCCCCCGCCCCTCGCTGTTCTACTTACCTTCCCAAGCCTCCTTTTGGTGTGCAAAGTGCATGCATTTGGTGCAAGCGTGCATGTGCGACCAGCAAACCGGTGGCAAACCAGTTCAGATTTTGCCACTGGTATATTGGTTTTACTCTCCCTCTGTGTGTGTGTGTGAGAGAGAGAGACAGAGACAGAGAGAGACAGGGACAGAGACAGAGACAGAGACAGAGACAGAGACAGAGAGACAGAGAGAGAGACAGAGACAGAGAGAGACAGAGAGACAGAGTGAGACAGAGAGAGAGAGAGAGAGAGACAGAGACACAGAGAGAGACACAGAGAGAGACAGAGACAGAGACAGAGAGACAGACAGAGAGAGACAGAGACAGAGACAAAGGCAAGTCAAATCTTTAAAAGTGATACCTCTGATGTTTTGGGCTGATTTTCATTATCCGTTCCTAGAGACGGTGTCTTTTCCCACTTTTCTGCAACCTGATTGGCTTCTTCTATTTTTTGCTGGCAACTTTTCTGAGAGTTCAGTAGGGTCACTTCATAGAATTCTTGAATGTCTGTTGGTAAAAGAGAAATAATATGTTGGTTTTTTTGAAAAAAACAGAACAATGGTATTTGATGTAATGGAGACAGAAGTTACTGATTTTTTAAAAAACTTAAAATCGGTATATACGATGGACCTGTTGAAAAATACATTATGTCTGAATAGGAGCAGAAGCTGCTGACATAAAAATTGTTATTCCATAGTGCCTAGACTTTTTAAAGGGCCATTTTCCTTAAAAATATTGCATTAAACTTTTCATAAATATTATATGAGTACATGAATAATGCATTGCACATCATTACTGAATGAAGACTAAAAATAGGCATATTCATTGGAAAAGGCTCCAATATATGCCAAACAATAAATTGTTGCCTCCACGATATATAGTGTACATAATGTGGTGAAAGGTACCCTCCCCATATTCCTACAAGCTGCTACCAAAAAGGGGTGAAATCCAGCAGGTTCTGACAGGTTCTGGAGAACCGGTAGCGGAAATTTTGAGCAGTTTGGAGAACCAGCAAATACCACTTCTGTCTGGCCCCAGGATGGGGTGGGAATGGAGATTTTGCAATATTCTTCCCCCTGAAGTGGGGGGGGAATGGAGATTTTGCAGTATCCTTCCCCTGCCACGCCCACCAAGCCATGCCACGCCCATCAAGCCACAGGACCGGTAGTAAAAAAATTTGGATTTCACCACTGCTACCAAACCTTGGTAGGTTTCATTACCAAACCTACAAGATGCACCTTACAGGTACCCTGTTTTCCCCAAAATAAGACATCCCCTGATAATAAGCCCAATTGGGCTTTTGAGCGCATGGCAATAAGGCCAAGCGCTTATTTCAGGGTTCAAAAAAAAATATAAAACAGGGTCTTATTTTCAGGGAAACACGGTAGTCCTCAACTTACGACCACAATTGAGCCCAAAATTTCTGTTGCTAAGTGAGACGTTGGTTAAGTGAGTTTTTGCCACATCTGACAACCTTTGTTGCCACAGTTGTTAAGTGAAGCATCGCAGTTGTTAAGTTAGTCACATGGTTTATTAATTAAATCTCATTGACTGTGCATGTCACAAAAGCTGATCGCATGACTGCAACCGTCATAAATATGAACCAGTTGTCAAGCATCTGAATTTTGTTCACATGACCATGGGGATGCTGCAAAGCTCTTACGTGTGAACAAGTGTCGTAAGTCACTTTTTTCAGTGCCGTCGTAACTTTGAAAGGTCACGAAATGAATTGTTGTAAGTCGAGGACTACCTGTACATAAAGTGCCCTTATAAAGAAAAAAAACCTTTACAGCATGCTGTGAGGCTCAAAGAATCACATTAAATTCTAGTTAAGTTGATTTACAGCTCACTCCTATTTTTGTGGCCTGTCAGCCACGGGCCCCTCCAGAAGCCGAATCAGATGGAGAGGAGACGTGGGAGTCAAGGTCCGCAGCAAGGCAACTTGAGAGCTCCGAGGGGGAAGAGGGAATGGAGCTGGCGGAGAGAGAGAGACAGAGGCGGAGCCTGGACCATCCGTCAGCCCTCAGATGGAGAGCCAACAGCCCCCAGGTCTGGAGGTGGCTGATGAGGAAGAGGAGGAACAGCTGGGTCCTGTGCCTGACGTGGATGCACAGAAGGCAGAGGAGAGGAGAGCAGTGGAAATCTATGGGCCGATCCTTGGGACGGAAGAGCCACTGCTGCTACAAAGTCCCACCCTAACTCTGGGGATAAAAGGCAGGGGGCAGAGATGAGTAGGTGTGGCAGACAACTATTCATCTCCCTGCTGGACGGACTTGTTAGCCTGCTGTAAGGGAGAAACTTTTTGCCGGGGCTGCTGGCGCTCCTAATCAAGGAATCTCTGAGTTAACTTCAGAGGGTTTGTCATGTTTGGGGAGCTGGGTCAGAACACCAATACACAAGAATATAGTCAACTAGCAGCCGGCACTAAATTGGCACTAGATAAGAATTAACGGCATTCAAGAGGGATTGGATTTAGGCTGCTTGTGGGAACATAATGACTCTGAGCTGATTCCTCTCTTAACTCCACCTCCCAGGCTATGACTGTCTTCCTACACAAGGTGAACTAATTCTGACTGGTGACAGGGAGAAGAGAATTGTTTCTATTCACTAGGTAAAGGTAAAGGTTCCCCTCGCACATATGTGCTAGTTGTTCCCGACTCTAGGGGGCGGTACTCATCTCCGTTTCAAAGCCGAAGAGCCAGCGCTGTCCGAAGACGTCTCCGTGGTCATGTGGCCGGCATGACTCAACACCGAAAGCGCACGGAACGCTGTTACCTTCCCACCAAAGGTGGTCCCTATTTTTCTACTTGCATTTTTTACCTGCTTTCGAACTGCTAGGTTGGCAGAAGCTGGGACAAGTAACGGGAGCTCACCCCGTTACATGGCAGTAGGGATTCGAACCGTTGAACTGCCGACCCTTTCGATCGACAAGTTCAGCGTCTTAGCCACTGAGCTACCGTGTCCCCTTTCTATTCGCTAATCCTATCTTAAAAATAGTACAAGTAGTCTTCACTTAACAACTGCCCTGTTTAGCAACTGTTCAAAGTTACGACAGCACTTAAAAAGGTACGACCGATCGGCTTAAAGTTCTATGCTACAATGCTAGTTGTATTTTTAAAAAGGTATTTCATTGGAGGATATTTTAAAAGTCTGCTTCAGACTTTTACAGAAAGTTACAGAAAATGTAAGATCAAAGAAAAAAAACAGGATAATTTCCATTTTTTAAAAAAAGATTCTTAACAGGATAATAGAGCTGAACTGAATAACAGAGTTGGAAGGGACCTTGGAGGTCTTCTAGTCCAGCCCCCTGCTCAAACAGGAGACCCTGTACCATTTCAGACAAATGGCTGTCCAATCTCTTCTTAAAAACCTCCAGCGTTGGAGCACCCACAACTTCTGGAGGCAAGTCATTCCACTGGTTAACCACCAGGGGCGGTATTAACTTACCTCCACTACTGGTTCGCAAATGTGAGCATGTGCCCATGCGCTCGCTTCGCATGTGCCACCTCCGCACATACGCAGAGCATCAAAAACAGGACGTGATGAGGTCCGGGTGGGTGGGCGGAGCTTCCTGCAGCCGCCGCTACCAGTTTGCCCGAACCGAATAGAACTAGCTGAATACCACCACAGGTTCTCACTGTCAGGAAATTTCTCCCTAGTTCTAAATTGCTTCTCTCCTTGCTTAGTTTCCATCCTGGCAAGAAGGATGCCTGACTTACAATTTATATTTATAGTCTTGTGCAATTTATTTTAAAATCTAGGGTAAGCAAGAAAAGAGGCTCCATACTGGGAGCTGCTCAGAGTTGGTTATAAATTGGATGGATATGTGTGTGTGTGTGTGTGTGTGTGTGTGTGTGTGTGTGTGTGTGTGTAAGTCTTTGGTTATTCTTCTTGGCAAGACACTTCCAATTTTACGCGGGAGAAAACCCGAATAACCAAAGACCTACATACAAATACCTGCAAAAACCTCAGAAAACAAATATCTATATCTCTATCTATCTATCTATCTATCTATCTATCTATCTATCTATCTATCTATCTATCTATCTATCTATCTATCTATCTATCTAAATGGATTAAGTCAATGAAATATGTTGAGATGGCAAAAGTGGAAATCTTGTCAATTTTTCCCCATTTGTTTTATAAAATCCACTTTTAAGCGACAGACCGGAACGCTAATCTACTTAAAAAATATATTAAGGGGTGAAAAATGGAAGAAGCGGAAGAAATCAGTGTGATAGCCTGCAAAACTTAATGGAAAGCTGAAAAATCAAAAAGAACACGAATAGGAAATGGAAATAAAAGGAAGTTACCAAGGAAAATTACATTCATGTTGTTTGGAATTGTAGAGATGGCATCATGAAAATTAATGTGTTAATGTGAAAGTCAAAACTGAGCCTGGTGGCGCAGCAGACTAATAGCCTGTTATTAACATTCAGCTGCCTGCAATTACTGCAGGTTCGAATCTCCCCAGGCTCAAGGTTTGTCATTTACTGAAAATGGAAAAAAGACCAAGATTACCCCCCCCCAAAAAAAGACAAACATGTCTGGTTTGATTTGAGCTACCTTCTCAGTATTTCACTGGAAGACTCTTGAATATATCAAGGCTGAGGACTAAATTAGAAAATTCAAAAACATTATGGAAGGAGAGAAGGAGGGAGGGAGGAAATCTAATCTGCTCGGGTTTCTGAAGTCAACAGAGAATGAATCGGTTGACTTTGGGCCAATCACCAGGAGAATGTGAGTTCTAGTCCCGTCTTAGACATGAAATCCAACTCTGGGCCAATCATCAGGAGATTGAGAGTTCTAGTCCCGCCTTAGGTATGAAATCCAACTGAGTGACTTTGGGCCAATCACCAGGAGAATGTGAGTTCTAGTCCCGTCTTAGACATGAAATCCAACTCTGGGCCAATCATCAGGAGATTGAGAGTTCTAGTCCCGCCTTAGGTATGAAATCCAACTGAGTGACTTTGGGCCAATCACCAGGAGACTGTGAGTTCTAGTCCCGTCTTAGACATGAAATCCAACTCTGGGCCAATCATCAGGAGATTGAGAGTTCTAGTCCCGCCTTAGGTATGAAATCTAACTGGATGACTCTGGACCAATCACCAGGAGATGACGAGTTCTAGTTCCACTTTAGGCAGGAAATCCAGCTGAGTGATTCTGAGCCAATCACCAGAAAATTATGAGTTCTAGTCCCGCCTTAGGTATGAACTCCAACTGGGCCAATCACCAGGAGACTGTGAGTTCTAGTCCCACCTTAGGTATGAAGTCCAACTGGGTGACTCGGAAAGTCACTTTCTCTCTCAGCCCAACCAACCTGACACGGTTGTTGTTTTGGAAAAAGTAGAAGGAGGAAAGTATGTCAGATATATCCACCGCCTTGAGTTACTTGCAAAAAAAATAAATAAAGGCAGGATTGAGAGTTCAATCCTAGGTAGCGGCTAATGTTTCTCTCCTAGGGTGCAAAGAAAAAATATCTGCTGTGAACTCTGAGTGGTGTCAGG